TCTCCCTCTGACCCTCTTCCCTCTTGTGCTCTCTATCTCTCATTCTCTATCTCTCAAATAAATAAATAAAATCTTTAAAAAAAAAAAATCCTGGTTGTGATTTTAACAGTTGCAAAATGTTACCATTGGAGGAAAAGGAGGGGAAATATACAAGGAATCTCTCTATTGTTTCTTGCAACTGTGTGAGAATCCGTAATTATCTCAAAGTTTCATTTAAGAATACAGAAAAATCTCATGGATCCAGACAAGAGATAACACAAGACCTTTGGCAAGATGACATAGAGTCCAAGGACATGCTCATAGAAGCCCTAACCCTCGCTGAAGTGCATGATGCAACAGCACTGCTCATGTGACTCTTTTCTGACTTTTTGCTACGGACCTAAGCATTCCAGACAACAACATAACTCAGTGATATAAAGAACAGAACAATCAAACAGCTAGAACATGTATCTGCAGACTATAAGCAACAGAATTGCAGAAGAGTAATTGTATAGTGATTTAATATTGTTCCCTCTGGCAGACTATACACTCACTGAGAGAAGGAAAAGGCTGAGCAGTCTTGCTCACCCCTATATCTCAGCTCCTAGCACTGCACTTGGTACATAGAAAGTGCTCACTACACACTTGTTAAATGTGTTTGAATGAAAAAAATTTACAGCCCATATGTCCTTTTAGAGGTAGAATGACTTCTCTCTTCCCTCCTTCCCAATCTCCCTTCCCCACTCTCTCCTCACCCACCATCTACAGGTAAACACACGCACAGGGACCAAGATTGTTTCTGCCACATGCAAGTTGGACAGTCATTTAACCTCTCTGTGCCTCAGCCTCCTCATCCATAAAATGAGGATAATAATAACAATGATACCTACTTCAAAGGACTGACATGAGGGTTAGATGAATTAATATGTGTGAGCACTTACGACATTATCTGGCATACCATGGGTGCCGTGTAGGTATTTGTTCAGTTGCAACACAATTCTGACACTGATTACAGGAATTAGCTTAGACCCCACAGGTAACAGACACCATTCTCTACAAGACTGCCCTCACTTTAGACACCAGGCACAAGCTCCAGGTTCCTAAGACACCCGTGTTTCTGGCCAGCTGTCTACAAATTTTGGAGGTTCCCACTCTACCCCCTTGGGTTCAGTAATTCATTAGAATGGTTCATAGAACTCAGGGAAGTACTGTACTTATGATTATAGTTCTATTGTAAGGGATACAAATCAGGACCAGCCAAATGAGTACATGCATGGGGTGAGATCTGGGAAGGTCCCAAACATGAAGCTTCTGTATCCTCAGTATGCCCCATCCTCTAGATACATCAGTGGGAGATTACCAACTGGGAAGCTCACTGGAGCTTCTGTGTCCAGGAGGTTTTATTGGGGTTTTATTACTTAGGCATGGATGCTTGAATTATTGGCCACATGACTGAACTCAGTCCCCAGTCCCCCTCTGCTCCCCAGAGGTCAGTGTTATTTCATGGCTCAAAGCCCCAACCCTCTAATCAGACGTTGGTCTTCAAGCATGGCCAACTCCCATCCTGAAACCATCTAAGGGCCCTTGGGAGTGACCTCGTTAGCATAAACTCAGGCCACCATGAATAACAAAGACACTGCTATCACTTGAGATATTCCAAAGACTTAGAGGTTATCTCCAAGGAATCAGGAACAAAGATCAGCCCAATTCTTTATTATACAACATAAATAAAGTTTACTGAATTGAATAGGCAGAAAGGGCAAGAAAAGCATTCCAGGAAGGGAGTGTCTAAAGAGAAGCAGTAGAAATATGCCTGGCACAGTCATGGCACAGTGGAAAGACCCCCCTAGCGACTGGGCTTTGCTACGTTGAAATGCACCAGCCTTGTAGTCTAAAGACCAGAGTTCTGACTACGGTTCTGCTATTTGATAGCTACGAGCCATCTCATGGGAGTATAGGGATCATTGTAACCCATCGTAAATCCTGTCTAGGAGAGGTGGGCATAATTGAAACAGAGACCATTTAGTGAATTCATTTATTTTTTCTCAAAATTTTACTATTTCTTACCAATGTATTATTCCCGCCCCCCCCGCCCAAATTCATTATTTCTCACAATACTGTGGTTGGAGTGTTATGGAACCTGGATTGGATCGCCCGTGGGAAGAACCAAGCAGCACTCAGAGATCTTGAAGGATAGGAGGTTTATTTAACACCCGCAGGCTCAGAGGAGAGTGGTCTCCAAAGGTCTGAGCCACAAACACAAAGGGGGTAATTTATACACTTCTACTTCCACATACTAGGCAGTCTTGGCATGTGCGGGAAGCTGGGCAGGGAGAAGAACCCGGAAGAGCCCTGGGGCAGGGGCTGGGGCTCCCTTGCTGGGTTGGTCGGCCATCTTAGGACACAGATTTCCCTTATCAGGAGTAGGCAGTTTTCGGGCTTGTATGGCGTCATTAGCTCCACAGCAGTTCATGCGACTGCGTTCAAAAAGGTTGATGGCTGGGATGAAAAGAGCTGAGAATGACTCCCTCACACATCTGTGGCCTCATGCTGACTGCTTGCTGGCTCAGTTCTCACCCACATAGCCTCTCTCTACACGTGATGTCTCGTCTTCCAGTGCTTCTCCACATGATGGCCTTCCTACAGCAGGACAGCCTGGACTTCCTGACAAGAGAGCAAAAGTAGAAACCACCAGGTGTCTCAAGGCCCAACACCGGCCCAACATTTTTTCCACCATGTTCTATCTATCCAAGCAAGTCACAAAGCCCGCCAGTTTCGAGGGGAGGGGAGACCAACTCTATCTGAGCAGCATGTTGCATGTGTACACACGGAGGGAAGGAATCACTGCAGTCGCCTTTGGATACTCTAGCATGTTCTCTGACCCTCAGTTTACTCATCAAAGTGGGTATTTTTTTTTTTTTAAGATTTTATTTATTTATTTGAGAGAGAGAGAGAATGAGAGATAGAGAGCACGAGAGGGAAGAGGGTCAGAGGGAGAAGCAGACGCAGGGAGCCCGATGTGGGACTCGATCCCGGGACTCCAGGATCATGACCTGAGCCGAAGGCAGTCACTTAACCAACTGAGCCACCCAGGCGCCCCTAAAGTGGGTATTTTAATAGCTACCTCAAATAGATTCATGAGAAAAGACATGTCATATGATATGTGATAGCGTTTTATAAATTGTAAAGTGCTAAAAAACTACAGGATATTTTAGTGGTGGGTGATAAATGTGGATTGGAAGAATGAGAACAGATTATGCAGGGCTTTAAAAGGAGACAGAGGAAGTTATAGGAGTCATAATAACATTTATTGAGCATTTCCTATGCGCCAAGAATTGTACTAAGTGTTTTATGGGTATTATCTTCTTTAATCATCAAAATCTTATAAATGGATATTTTATTGCCATTTTTACAGCTAAGGAACTGCAGGCAAGAGGCAGAGCCAGAATTTCAACCCAGTTCTGTCTGGTTCCAAAGTCTTAACTACTACTGTACCAAAATTCTTCTATCACTTATAGTCAATCAGCAGTTGGGTAGGGGGAGATAGCTGCTACCCCACAACTACTGAAACAGAATTTTTGAATGTGGAACCCGGAATCTGCATACTTAATAGCCACATTAATGTGGAAGACGCATTAACCTCAGTGTACTATAGGGAGCCTTTTCAGATTTTTCAGTATTTCAAAGACACTGAGAAGACAAGCTGAAAGGAAATTTAGCTTGCAGGTGCAGAAGAAAACTTGAAAAAGAAAAGTACTTAGAAGTGGGGAGAATAATGAAGGGCTTTAAAAATAATTACATTTTCTAGAGGTTGATGCTAAAGCTGAGGGAATGGAATTGAGACTAGAAAGCTTACAAATCAGACTCAATAACTTGCAATTAATCAAGAGTACATTTCATGCATTAATTCATCTATTTTATGCCTCTTTGCCTTTGGGCTTGTTATTTCCTTCGCTAGAAAACCCCAATTTCCATCTTCTTCTCACCCAACCTGATCAACCTCTCTTCATTTCGGTTCTGAGGACAAATAGGTGTCTCCTCTGGGAAGTCTTTCCTGGCCACCTCCCACCCCCAGGTGTCCCACATGTGTACTGTACCTTCCTCAATGCTATCATTTATAGGCTTCATATTCTAAACGTTGGCTTATGTTCCGTCTTCAGCACTAGACTGCAAGACCCTGGAGGGTAAGGGCTGTACAGAAAGAGAAAGACAAGGGGAGACTAGATGATTCTTAGAAAGAACCACTGGATGAACATAGGAGGTGAAGGAGCCATTGCAAAGCTGCACATTGTCTGTACTTTGAACAAACATGAAGACTTGTTGAGATTACAAGATGAACTTTATGGAGTTTAACAAACCGCAGCAATTAGATACATGCAACTCCAAAGTTGACATCTCATGACCACAATTCAAAGCTGCCTAGCAAACCGGTCCCTTCCATAATTACATGTATTTTATCTTAGACCATGTAACAACCAGTTGAAATTTTGTACATACAAATACCAAGAACAAATTTGTTTTTTCTTCACATGGGCACGAATGAGCCTAAGTGATTTGGGCAAGTTACTTTAACCCTGTTTCATCATTTGTTAGAAAGAAATGGTAAAACCTTTTCCCTGAGTTGCTATGATGACTAAACGCGGCAATGCCCATCAAAATGCTTTATAAAATATTGGTGGTAGGTAATAACAGAGATAATATACTTCTACTACTATTAATATTATTCTGCGACTGTATCTCCTCTCTCCCATCCTCTCTAAACCAGAATAAATTCCAGCGAGTTTAAGGAGAAATGACTGAATTTCACACCAACGTTCCAATTCCGGCCGCATCTGCCCTAACCCAGCATGGCGGCATCTGCTTCTTGAGGTCCCCATCTCTGGCTACACTAACGCAATTGCCCGCTGGGTAGACTCAGCTTGCCCTACGCCCTTTGATGACGCCCCAAACCCGCGCCCGGAAGGCGGGCAGCGCAGGTTTGCGCAGGCGCAACGCGGAGGCGGGTGGGCGGAGCAGGTCGCGATGAGTGGCGGAGGGACGGAGACCCCTGTGGGTTGTGAGGCCACCCCGGGCGGCGGCGACAAGAAGAAGGATTCGCTGGGGACCGCGGGCTCGCCAGCGCATCTCATTATCAAGGGTACGGAGTGGTAGGGCTATCGCTCTGGTGGAGCCCGGCGCTACTCCACCTCCCAAGCGGCGCCCTCTGACCCAGGGCCGCTCCCCAGGGCGCCCCCCAGCTCCCGGGCGGCCTAGCATTCGTGGGAGGTTGGGGGCGTAGTGGCCAGAGCCCGCCTGGTTTCCTACGCCAGATGCCTCCCAGTAACAACCAACCAACCCAGTCCCTCTTACTTTTTCAAAAAAGCCGCGGATGTGCGTCTTGAGCCCCGCCCCTTCTCCCCTTTCCCTAGCAGGGGACCTTTGAGCGCGGAGCCGCTTTGGACGCTGCCTCACGACGGTCCTATAACGCTTAGGGAGGCATGGAGCTTGGGTGTCGGGTAGGGCCTGCGCCCCCCGGTAGGTCGCTTAGGAGTTGGGTGACTTTGGGTGGTCTGCTTTACCTACTCTGCCCCTGTCTGCTCCTGGGTCATGCAAGGAATAAATGAGATAACATATATGAAAGCATCTTAAAACATGAAAGTGCCATACACGTGTAGAGATGTCCATTTGTCTTCCCTGCTTTGCGCTTTGAGAAGGTTACATCCCGGATTTTCACAGAATCTGAGTACTTGATTCCCAAAGCTCACAACAACCCTATTTTCCTGTAGCAGGATCTTTGCCAGTTAGATACGGAATTTCTCATCCTCAATCCTTATCCATTCTTAATCCTATGCTGATCCTGTCTGTCCCAACATCTTGCAGCGTTGAAGCCCTCGTAGGATGCCAGAGTCCTTCACTACCAAGAGAATGACGTCCTTTGGTTGCTGCCTATTTCATTTTAACCTTACCTGTCAGGACTGTAGACAGCTCAACACAGCTGGCTGTGGGTTGGCTATTTTTCTAGACTTCAGGTTGTAAAAATCTGATTAGGGGTGTGGGAGTGGTGCGTGAGTGTTAGGGCTAAAGTATAAATGTTTATATGTGCTATCTAAGTGAACTGCTACTTAAAAATGTTTTTAATTGCCGTGAAATACATGTAACATAAAATTTATCTTCACCATTTCTAAGTGGCATTAGTACCTCCACATTATTGTGCAGCCATCACCACCATCCATCTCCAGAACTTTTCATCCTCCCAAACTGAAACCCGTTGTACCAGTGAAACACTAACTCCCCATCTCCCCCTCCCTCTAGTCCCCGGCAACCACCGTTCTACTTTCTGTATCTGTATGTGGCTACTCTAGGTAATTCATACACATGAAATCATAAAGTATTTGCCCTTCTGTGACTGGCTTATTTCACTGTGTATAATGTCCCCAAGGTTTATCCATGTTGTAGCATGTGTCAGAATTTCCTTCCTTTTAAAAGCTAAATAATATTCCACTGTATGTATAGACCACATTTTATGTAGCCATTCATCTCTCGATGGACCCTTGGGTTGCTCCCACCTTTTTGGTTATTGTGAGTAATGCTGCTGTGACCATAGGTATGCAAATATCTGTTTGAGTCCTTGCTTTCAGTTCTTTTGAGTTTATGTGTACCCAGAACTGGAATTGCTGGATCAAATGATAATTCTATTTTTATTTTTTTTGAGCAGTCACCATACAGTCTTCTGTAGTGGCTGCACTATTTTTACAGTCTCACTCACAGTGCACAAGGGCTCCAATTCTACACATCCTCACCAACACTTGTTATTTTGTGTCTTTGGCAGTGGCCCTCTTAATGGGTTTGAAGTCCTGTCTTGTAGTTTTAATTTGCATTTTCCTAATGATCAGTGATGTTGAGCATCTTTTTATGTGCTTATTGACCATTTGTATATCTTCTTTGGAAAAATGTCTATTCAAGTCCTTTGCCCATTTTTCAATCAGGTTGTTTTTTGTTGTTGAGTTGTAGTTCTCTATATATCTGGATATTAACCCCCTTGCTCATGGATGATTTGCATATATTTTCTTCCATTCCATGGGTTGCCTTTTCACTCTGTTGATTGTATCCCTTGATGCATAGGTTTTGTTTTTTTTTAATTTTCATATGTTATTTTTTTAAAGGTAATTCAAGGAAAGTTTTTCAAGTTAATTGAAAATTGAGTTTTAATTAAAAATATGTCCAGAATTTCCTTGCTTTTTTTATGGAACCATTCACTCTTTTCATTCTGAAAATCTATTTTTAGTTCATTCTTATTTAAAGACCATCAGTTGTGAACAGATCATTGTTGAATTTTATTGCCAGAGTCTAGTGAAAGGGAAACATAAATAAATGATTTCAGTACTTGTGCCCTGGGTCTTTAAGGGTTTCTGGCCCATGGTTTGGGTGTTAGGAAGTAAGAACTGGGAAACAGGGAGGGCTTCCTGGACACTGTAGTGTCTGATCTGAGTCTTGAAGAGTCAAGTGTTAGCAGTTAAGAAAAGAAGGCAAGGCTATTTTGGACTTAGTTTGGAACAGCATGAGCAAAGGTGTGGAAGCATGGCATGTTTGGGAAGCTACATGTCTTGCTACAGTGTGACTCTGAGAGAGGTGGAGTTTGGTAGAAATCAGACCGTAGAAGACTTCTCGCCTTTTTAGGGAATTGGACTTTTTCTTGAATGGCAGGAAACTATCCAGCAGTAAGTATGAGAATCATGTGGGTAGATTCATATTTTAAATAAAGCACTCAGGCAGATAATTGTGGGTCCTCATCTTGTGCGTTGGGTGTTAGTGAATTTGTCTAATTGCTAAAATGAATTTGTAACTCCAAAATCAATACTGATGGTGTTTTCATAGTCATTCCCACATGCACAGAATAGAGAAAAATTTGAGTCTCCCTACATGCATATTTGTAGTTGAGACTGAACAAGGCAATGCTCTGCTTTTTGTTTTAGCTCTTGTACCATAAGTGTCCTTTTTGCTTTTTATTTAGTGCCATATTTTTCACATTTTTGTGCTTTTTGGTGGTGATTTTGCTTTTTAAAAGGATCCCCAAGGTGTAGTGCTGAGTTTTCCCTAAGCACAAGAAAGCTGTGGTGTGCCTTACAGAGAAAATACTGTATTAGAGAAGTTTCTTTCAGGTATGAGTTAGAGTGCTGTTTGGTGCAAGGTAAATGTTAATTAGTCAACAATCCAGAAAAAGGAAGGGCATTCACCAATATGTGTGTTAGGCCAGTCTGGAAAGTGCCAAAGTAACATTTATAGTGTGTGATGAAGTGATGGGAAAGCAGCTGAATTTGTGGATTCCTGAGATGATTTAGAGAGCGTAGTGGACAGCATTGCTGTGAAGCTGAAAGCCAAAGGAATTCATGGTCGGTTGGATAAGGTCCGGAAAATGTTAAACCCTTCTGGTCTAGGGCTGGCCACACTTTCATAGGTGGTACAGTGTGAAAAATGTTTGACTTGCAGGTGAATTAGGTTATGCAGGTAAAAATAACTGGTAAGTGTTAATACAGGAGAAATTGTTAACGCTGGAAGAGCAGATTTTGGAATGCTAAGACTGGCACGTTTTACAAGGATGTTGGTAAGCCTGTATAATACAGATGGCCTTTTGGTGTGACAGAATGAGATCAGAGGCCTGCAGAAGGAAGCTAAGCCTGTATTTCCTCTAGGAACAGTAGTTCAGTACTTGGTAGTTCAGTGTTCGAGGCAACTTTATAAACATTACTACTGCAAATGACAAGAACTCTGTAGAGTGGGTTACAGAGAGGTGTGACTAACTGTGTTTGAATAGTCCTAGTGAGACAAGCAGGGATGAAAACGAGGTAATGGATCTGAGAAGTGGTGAGGAAGAGCAACATCTGTTTGGTGATGCAAAGGACGTTACCAGAAACATTGCAATAAATTGTTCCATATGATATTACATTAAAGGCCTGGAAATTCAGGGCCAGAGGAGAAACTTCTTTTATTAGATAATAAGAGATCTACAATTGACTGTTTCTCCTTGTTTCATAGCCACAGAGCAGCATATTGATCTCCATTAAAGTGCTCATCTCTTTTGTGTGAAGGGATTTTTGTCCATCTCCCACATTAGAGTATGAATTTTTGGAGGACAAAAGATTATATCAAACAACGAAAGAATGCTTTGCGTGCAATAAGGTTAGGGTGGAACTTATGTGAAAAGCTGTAACTTATATTTACACCATCAGACTTGGAGAATTTTAGTCCTTGCGACTCCTGCATTGTAATGTGCTTGCTTTGTTGTTATAATGTTATAACAAAACTAGTTAGTGGCTTAATTTCTGTGGTCATCTGTATTTTCTCCCTAAATCTTTACTCTCTTAAATTTTGGGGCACAGTCAGGGTTTTAGAAGTGATCATTATCCACTTCTAAACAGAATTGAATTCTCTCTCTGAAGGTCAAATAAGTTCTCCTTATATCAGGCTCCCCAAATCAACAAGGCTTAATGGCTTCTCCATCACATAGAAAAATACATGTTAACTCCTATGTCTTCTGTGGATGATATAAATAATTTGGTGTCTGAGATACTCCCTGGAAGAGAAATACAATTTTAGGACAACATAGTAAGTAGTATGATAGAAGTAATTGCCCCTGGTGCTTTGGGAGCATAAAGTGGGGGCACTCTTTGAAACCTAGGAGGAAGCTGAATAGAATCAATGAAAATTTCAAGGAAGTGTGATGTCTGAGCAGTTTTGAAGGAAGAACAGGGATTGGGGAAGGGTTCCAGAGCATGAACTATGGCAAGGACATGTGAGGAGCATGATGTTTTTGGAGAACTGCAAGTACTTCAGAATTGCCAACATGGGGGGAAGGGTGGCTGGAGTCAGACATGGAGGACTGTGGGGGTGGGGGCGGGTGGGCTACTAGGAGGCTTCATCTTCAGCCTGTTGGCCAGTTGTGTTTCAGAGACACTGGTGTTTACTGAAATGTGAGCAGATACTCTTTGCCACATAGGTTCTCTTATCAAATAAGGTCCACACATTTCTGCATACTGTAGCCCTCACTTGGGCATTAATAGTTCATATAAGTAAACTATAGGCTCCCAGAAGATCTGAGGCGAAGGAACTTGTCTAACTTGATTTTATCTATTTCCCAAACTTAACTCAGAATAGAACTTTTTTTTTTTTTAATGAACTATTATTTTCTTACAGAATTACAGAAGTGTTCTGGATAATGAATCATTGAAGAACTTAAGCAGAAGTAATACTTCTTTTTATATTTTTTTACTTAGCATACGTCCCAATATGTATCCTTTAAAACTCCTTAAATAGAGAATTGAAATATTGCCTCATTGCATGTCTGCAAAAATAAAAAAATTAGAGGAACAGGTTATGCTAGTAAATAAACATGAATGGTACATGTTCTTATTTGGAGACTTAATTTCCTCCAGGAGTTTTGAGGTTTACCTCTTAAACTATATAGTTGTTACAAAGTAGTGTGAATAGAATGACTTAACAAAAACAGTTTAAAATTCACAACTTTTCCCCTTAACTTTAACTTTTTCAGACTTACCAAAAAGTACAGAGACCTGTGGGGCGCCTGGGTGGCTCAGTCGTTAAGTGTCTGCCTTCGGCTCAGGTCGTGATCCCAGGGTCCTGGGATCGAGCCCCGCATCGGGCTCCCTGCTCCACGGGAAGCCTGCTTCTCCCTCTCCCACTCCCCCTGCTTGTGTTCCCTCTCTCGCTGTGTCTCTCTCTGTCAAATAAATAAACAAAGTCTTAAAAAAAAAAAAAAAGTACAGAGACCTGTAATGCACTCTCACCACCCATCTTAATAAATAAACATTCAAAGCCCACTGGGTACCTTGCTGTAATTGCATTGCTCTCCCTCCCCTTTAAAGTTAACCACTGTCTTGGTTTTGCTGTTTATCGTTCTCACACATTTCTTTCTAGTTTTATTGGGCTTTTGGTATGTGTTCCAACAGGAAGTGTCTTTTGCATATTTTTTAAGTTTATATAAAATGGCTTTATCCTTCTGAAACTTGCTTTTTTGTTGAGCATTATATTTGTGGGATTTATCCATGTTAGTAAATGTAACCATAGTGTATTCATTTTTACCTGCTGATTTATAGTATATTAGTATATAGTATATTTAGATTGTTTCCTTTTTTCTTCTTTTGACATTACACTCATGCTGTAGTAAACATTTATAAATGTCTTTCATTTGTGTAAGAGTTTTTCTGGGACACCTAGGCATGAAATTGCTGGGTATACATGTCTTGAGCTTTATCAGATATTGCCAAATTGCTCTCAGAAATACTTACATTGTTTTACTGGCAGTGGATGAGATTTCCTCTCAGTCCAAGTCTAAACTAGATTTTAACCTACATCTATTCATGAGAATTGGGACGAGTAAAACAAACTAGAGATACTAGAGATTGTGCCACCCAGCGTGGATTAACTCTGAATTTCATTTTGTCTTTATAGACCTTGGAGAAATTCATTCAAGGCTTTTAGATCACAGACCAGTTATTCAAGGTGAAACCCGTTATTTTGTGAAAGAATTTGAAGTGAGTATTTAAAACTTATTTTGTAAAAATACTGCCCTAGTTGTTAGTATGTTAATATACAGAAGGGGACTTCTCTGGTTTTAAAGTCTCTGATTTCCATTCATGTGTTCATAAAATAGGCAAAGTAAAACTCATTAAGAGGCATTACCATTCATGGAAGGAGCTTAAGACTAGGCAGCAGGAGACTTGGGCTCAAGTGCTGGTGCCTACTCTGGACTATTTAATATCTGTTGATCTCAGTTTTCTTCATCAGTAAAATGAGTATAGTGAAAAAAAGATTTTAAAGACTGATAGGTGTAGGTCTTCCAGATCCATTTTCTATATTTTTTTCTCAGTTGGAGCATTAGCACCCACCCAAAGTACTCAGGTTAAAATAGGAGACTCATCCTTGACTGTTCTTACCCGGTTAATGCCCACTTTCAGTGACCATTTCTTTTGGATATTACTCATAAATTTCCATCCCTTCTAATTTGTGTGCCTGCTTCATCACCCCAGTCAAATCCAGTCTTTACCATGCTGCCAGAGTGCTCTGATGTTACTTTACTTTTTAAAACCCTTAAATAATATTTGCTGTCTACAGGATGAAATCCAAGCATCCTTCTCTAGGCCCCTACCTTGCTGGTGTTACCGTCTGCCACCCAGCATTTCGTGCCGTGCTGCATCAACACTGAGGCACCAGCCTGCCGTCCTGTTTTGTATTCCTGGTGTTTTACACATGTGTAATCGCTTCATTGTGCCTTAAACAGTAGCGCCTGAGCTACTGTCAGATAGATGGTACGTGGTGTTGCACACAAAAATTTCATGAGTCTGTGTAAGTTGGGGTGCTATTTTCAAAGAAGACTCCAGCCAAACAGGAAGTCTAAACCTGCCAAAAGAAAAGAACCTTTTCATAAATCCTTTTTAAAACTACAGAATGCCAGTGGCACAGAGCCCTCAAGATGAGGGACAGAGCTGTAGCATCAGATACCATTTCTGGGTTCAACAGACTCTTACTTAAAATCTGCATAATACCTAATTGACAGCGTGGTTGTAAAGATTGAAGGTATGCATGTGCACACAATGCATGTGTCTGTATGTGTATATCTTAGAATGTGATCTGGTATCTAGGAATAAATAACTGTTAGCTCTCTTCATCATCATTACTGTTTGGTGGGGTACAGATAATCTGGGACCCACAGAATATTAACCAGAGATGATTCCCTTATTATGCTATATGAAGATTATTACCAATTCCTTAGTGAGAATAAAGTCTGGGTGTGGCATGGCTGGATTCTATGCTTAAGAGTCTCTCAAGGCTAAAATCAAGGTGTTGGTCAGACATTGTTCTTATTTGAAGCTCAGAGTCCAGTTCTTTTCCATGGTACAGTGAAGTTCCCATTTCTTTATTTGCTGTCAGCCAGGGGCCCCTCTGAATTCCTAGAGGCCATTCACATTCCTTAGCAGGTGGCCCCTTCCATCTTCAAAGCCAGAAATTGGGAGCACCTGGTTGGCTCAGTTGGTAGAGCATGCGACTATTGATCTCAGGGTTTTAAGTTCTAGCCCCATGTTGGGTGTACAGATTACTTAAACCAGAAAAACAAAAAACCATAAGTCAGTCTCACTCACGTGGAGTCCCTCCCTCTTATGCTTGCCAGGAAGAGCGTAGACTCTAAAGGACTCACCTGATTAAGCCAGGGCCACTGAAGATAGTCTCCCTTTCTTAAAGTCAGCTGATTTGGGACCTTAATAAATCTGTAGAATATATATACAGTAACACCTAGATAACGGTTTGATTGAATAACTGAGAGAAGGTGTGTGTACGCTAGGGGTGAGGGTCTTAAGGGCCATCTTAGAATTTTGCCTACCATAAGCTCTTGTAACTACCTGATATTTTTCTTGTTATTTATTTGTTTATTGCCTGTCTTCCTTCATTAGAATAGATGTACCATAAAAGTCAGGACTCTTCATTGTATAAAAATGCCTTATTCTTCATTGTATTAAAAATGCCTAAACCAGGGGTGCCTGGGTGGCTCAGTCAGTTAAGTGTCTGACTCTTGATTTTGGCTCAGGTCATGATCTCAGGGTTGTGAGATCGAGCCCTGTGTTAGGCTCTGCACTCAGTGGGGAGTCTGCTTGGGATTCTCTCTCTCCCCCACTCTGCCTCTGTTCCCCCCCACACACGCATACACACTCTCTCTCTAAAATAAATAAATAAATCTATTTTAAAAATGCCTAAACCAATGTCTGATGCATTGTAGGTGCTTAATATGATTCAAAAGAACAAGCAGCAGAGCCTTGACTAAAACTTGAGTTTTCTGATGTCTACTGATGTCATAAGTCATCTTTTTCATAAGTGTGAAAAGTTACACATTGCTAATTAGTGGCTGAGATACCGCTAGAATATGTGTCATTCTACTTACATCAGTGTTCTTTAAATAACGTTGATGGGGGCGCCTGGGTGGCTCAGTTGGTTAAGCGTCTGCCTTCGGCTCAGGTCATGATCCTGGAGTCCCGGGATTGAGCTCCATGTCGGGCTCCCGGCTCAGCAGGGAGTGTGCTTCTCCCTCTGACCCTCTTCCCTCTCGTGCTCTCTATCTCTCATTCTCTCTCTCTCAAATAAATAAAATCTTTAAAAAAAAAATAATGTCGATGGTTTCTGTGAAAGGGCCATCTATACAAATGAAGCTGAGTGTTGAGTGGCAGATGAAAGAAGTGTTACATTTATGCGGTTGAATATCTTATGTTCAAGAGCTCACTTCCTATAGAAGCCAATACCTCTTTTAACTGGGATAGAAGATAGTTGGCAAGAGAAGATGGGCTTGTGTCTGAGAGGAGAGGAATTACTTGCACTCCACATCGTGAAGCCTTCCGAGTCTTTTTGGAAAGGAGGCGATGTTGAGTGGAAAAAGAACACGGGCCCTGGAGCTTGACATCTCTGAGGTCAAACCCTGCCCCCCTTATCAGCTATGATTACCTGCTTTATTAAGGCTTAAGGTGCCTACTTAATAATGGGAGCAATAATATATACTATACAGCTTTTGTGAGGATTAAATGGTATGTTATTTTAAAAAATCCCTGACATACAGGTGTTAGATGAATGTTGTTAACTGTTATTATTAAGAGAAAGATGGTAGCAAGTACAGTTAGATAAAAATGTTTTAATTCAGAATTTGCAATAATGTGAATGAGATTGGGTTCCATTTTAGGGAAAATAGAGATTTGCTAAGCAAATGACATGAGCATTATATTAGAAAAATGTTTACTAGAGAATAAAATGATCACACCAGGTGTGAGAGAAACAAGCTTATTTTGTAAGTGTCTCGAGCACTTATTTTGTGTGGGACGTAATGTCAGGAACCAGTGCTGTCCTGGTGAAGACAGGCACAGACCCAGCCATGAAGCATTCTCATATTGTCATGAAGGACTGGCCTCTGAAAGACTCAAAAATATCTTGTCAGCTAAGTTTAAGTGGTTATCTTCAACTAAGTGTAACATAACTCCTTTGAATGTTTTTTTAATTTGAGAGAGAGCACGCAAGTGAGCAGAGAGTGGGGGCAGCAGCAGAGGGAGGGGGACGAGCAGACTCTGCGCTAAGCGCAGCGCCGTCTGCGGGGGCCTGATGGGGGCCTGATCTCAGGACCTGAGCTGAAACTACGAGTGGGATGCACAACCGTCTGAGCCACCCAGGCGCCCCCACTCCTTTTCTTGCCACATACCTGATCCAGGCTTTTTACACGATAACCTCCCTAGTTGGTCTTCCTGAGGGTTTAGAGTAGCATGGAAACCTTCTTGTGTATCAGGTTCATCTACCTTTTCTCTGTACCGTGTGCTGACATTTTGCCTCAAATTAGAAGAAAAAAGCTGAAAGCATTTTAGAGGCTTTTGATTTGAATATATATCTGCATTATTTACAGCTCTTTTGTATCTTGGTCCAAACAACATCCTCCAACTCTCGTCCCCAGATGGCATGGTTGGGCAGAGAGGAACGGTGAAGCAGTTATTAGGACTTCCTAGAACTTTCATCTCTCCTGCATTTAAATGTAGTTCACCCTAAGAAAACCTGGCTAGTATTTCAAACTAAAGTTGTTTATAGTTTTTATGTTTCACAAAGTTAATGCACAGGGGAACAATCAGCTTTTTCTTTATAAAATTTTATTTCTAGAAGAGGGGAGTAAGTGCCACATGGTGGCAGCATTACTTAAATTATTGACGTTCTATTATATTTAAGCTCTCTTTTTGTGTTTGTTAGTATTTCTGGACAGTTGACTGTCTTTCTCCTGACTTTATGCAGATCCTTTATATGGTTGATTCCAGTGCACAGAGATCCCAGTAGGGCCCTTTCAGTGAGCATCGGTTCAGTAGGGTCTGTGGGTGTGGCAGTGTCTGCAGGACCATTATCTTTCTAGCCACAGAGGAGATGTCATGGCCTCACCATGTAGAACAGTTAGTGAGCTTTTCTGGAGTGCTTTTGGGGTCTATGGTCCTGTACAAGTTTCTTACTTCATTTTTTTTTTTTTTTTAGTTGCATAAGTCTCTTTTTTGATGGAAAAACTTTTGTTATTGAATCATAGTTGAAACAATGTTAACATTCATTTCAGGTGTACAACATAGTAATTCAGCAAATCTGTACGTTATGCTGTGCTCCCCACAGGTGTAGCTACCGTCTGTCACCATACAATGCTATTACAATACCATTAATTATATTCCCTGGGCTGTACCTTTTATCCCCATGACCTGTTTATTCATTTCATTAACTGAAACCTTGTGTCTCTCACTCCCCTTCACCCACTTTGCCCATCCCACCACCTCTTCCCCTCTGGTTGCTTATTTCATTTTTAGCAAATTTTATTCTTTGAATGCTTTATTGAGTAGTTAACTGATTACCTAGGTATATCAGTAAGGAATGTGTTTAGTTACTAGTAACAGATATCCGAAAAATAGTGGCTTTTTAACAAGTATTTATTTTTCTCTCAATACTCAGAGCCTAGGGCTGGAGTTAGCTTTTTCTTCTAACTTTGCCT